TATCTCAACATTGAGAAGAGGATGAAGTAGGATGAGAAATGAACATGTAAACAAAGTGAGGCAAACACCTTAGCAGCGAAGGAAGTGGATGGGTCACTTGAACTCCATTACGATAGTCAGATTGGGCCAAAATGGCAATCACTCCAACTCAGTTACTCAAAAAAAATTGGAAACCTTTTGACTCACCTTTTTTATTATTTTTATAACATCAATGTACTCTGTATCCAAAGGATGAAATGTTCACCACACTTGAAAAACAAAGTCTTTTCAAACTGAAGGGAGTAATTCTAAGAAAAGCAAGCAGTATCCTACCAATGAACGAGGAGAGAATAAATGGCATGCAATTTGGAAGGAAAGCTAAGGGGAACTATTTGGGGGATTCAGTTCAGCTAGCAATTTTCCTTTATGACCTAAAAGATTTACTTAGTCTCAAGTCACCATAGGAAAAGTATAAAATTGTTTGAAAATGTGGAGGGGGAGGCCATGTGAAAAGCTATTCTTACCTATACAAATAAAAATAAAATGGGACTCAGTATGGTTAAAATAAGGATTCCTAAATTCATCCGGCTGAACACACAGTTCAAAATCGGACTGTTTGAGAAAGATCTTTTTATATCTTCTGTTTCTGCAGAGTCACTGTCCCTTTGCTAACCATTACTGAGCCCTTCTTATATGAAGGCATTCTGTTCAAAGTTGTGAAGAACATAAATATGAATAAGCCAGAGTCTCTGACCTCAGCGCTTATAAAAAAAGATTTTGTTATGATATCTCCAGTTTCATCTTCCACATCTCAATCGAAATAAAAAAAACTTCCAGTTCCCAAATTATCTTCCCATGCTATCTGGAACCTGGCCCTTTATCTTCTTCACCTCTGAGCCCTGTCACTATTCCCCATTCCAACCCCAGCATTTCCCAAGAGCTGAACTGTGCTTCAGCCTAAAAACACAGACACAGAAAGTAGTTTATTTCCTCTGATTTGTGTCTATGGAGAAAGCCAGAAGAGCAGCTCAGTTCATGGGAATTGGGTAGACATAACATCTCTATCAGTCCAGGTATGACATGTGGTCAGGAACAAGATAGTAGGTGTAGAAGAGACACAGGCTTTGTGAGGCAGGGGTAGGAGAAGACTGGAGAAGCCATGCCATAGTCCTGGGCTCCCTAAAGTCTCTCTGAACACCTCTTCTTTGGTTGAGAAACACTGAGAATGCTTTCTCCAGAAAATAAGTCTGAAGTATGAAAGAAGAGAGAGACTCCTCCAAAAAATCCAATTACCTTTGATAAAGTAGACTTGCCTAAAAGGGTGGGCCTCTCAGTTAATTGTGCTTTTTCCTTTTTTGCCCCAGTTAGATGTTTATGGGGACAAAGGTCTTACTTTCTAGAATTCCTTTGTCATTTTTCAGTGTTTACAACTAAAAGTATAGAAATCTAACAATCTGGCTTCCTAAAACTTATGCCTATTCCACAAAAGAATTTAATTGTATCCAAAGTTAAGAAAAAGTATATGGGGGCTTTTGTGGACTATAATTTATACTTATCTTTATACTAGAGGCCCAGTGCACAAAATTCATGCACTGGTGGTGGCGGGGTGTGTCCCTCAGCCCAGCCTGCACCCTCTCACAATCTGGGACTGCTGGCTCCCAACCGCTTGCCTGCCTGCCTGCCTGCCTGATTGCCCCTAACCACTTCTGCCTGCCAGTCTGATCACCCCCTAACCACTCCCCTGCCAGCCTGATCAATGCCTAACTGCTCCCCTGATGGCCCAATCACCCCCAACTGCCCTCCCCTGCGGGCCTGGTCGCCCCTAACTGCCCTTCCCTGCCAGCCCAGTCACCCCCAACTGCCCTCCCCTGCAGGCCTGGTCACCCCTAACTGCCCTCCCCTGCCGGCCATCTTGTGGCTGTGGGCACCACCATCTTTGAGGGTGTGACAGTCAATTAGCATATTCCCTCCTTATTGGCTGTGGGTGCCACCATCTTTGAGGGCAGGGCAGTCAATCACCATATTCCCTCTTTATTAGATAGGATAATAATTGATCTTCAAATCATGACTAAGAAAATAACTACATTATTCTTAGTTATCTATCAATATCATCAGACTTCTTCAGAGAAATAATGGCTATCAAAGAGATAGTTAGGACATTGCATATATATATATATATATATATATATATATATATATATATAAACTTTTAAAGTTGCGGTTGTATTGGTTATATTTACTCTTTGTACCTTATGCGCCTTAGCCAATAGATCTGAGACCTAGAACTAGAGACCAAGTCATTAAAATGCACTGCTTACTTAATGCTAATGCTAGCCCAGCCGTGGGCAAACTACGGCCCGCGGGCCGGATCCGGCCTGTTTGAAATGAATAAAACTAAAAAAAAAAAAGACCGTACCCTTTTATGTAATGATGTTTACTTTGAATTTATATTAGTTCACACAAACACTCCATCCATGCTTTTGTTCCGGCCCTCCGGTCCAGTTTAAGAACCCTCGAGTCAAAAAGTTTGCCCACCCCTGTGCTAGCCTGTTACACTAACTTCTGTGAGTATAGTGTGGTGCCATACTTGATGGTGACCTTCACCCTCCATGAATGTTTATAGCGCAGTAGAATCCAGATCTCATTTGACATGAGAATGACATGGCCTGGAGATAAGCATTGTTGCTAAGTCAGGACCATCACATCCCTCTGGTGATATCACACTAGATGGGTTCATTACACTTAGCACATATGGTTAAAGGGGCAAGTTCTACCAAGAAATATACATTAATGTATGGGTCCTTTGGAAGCTCTTATATACACAAAGCTTTTACATGACCAAACTATAAATGAAATACAAGTCCTAGAAAACTAATCACATTTTCAGAAAAAGTACATGGCGAATTTTGTGGACTCAGAAGGGTTCCCAGAATCAGTGATGTTTAACCATGTCTTCATTTTCTAGTATATTATATTCTGTGTCAGTGCTTTCAACTACATTTCCAGATGGTAAAATTGACTTTTATACGAGAAAATATTATAAATCACTCCTAAACTCAAATAGACCACAGCATTTACAAAAATTCAAATATATTTTATCCCAGAAATATGAAAGGCTCATAGTCCCTCAACATCAAAAAATATTTCAACATAAATAAGATGGATGATACCCAAGAATGTTCAAATTCAGAAAAAATTCAAAGGTACTCAGAGTTTCACTCATCAGTTAAAGGGACATCCCCCCCCCCCAAAAAAAAGGTTAAGACCAAAACATAGGTTAAGACCTTAGATAATTTGATTCCTAGAAGAATCTGAGTCTGTATACATGTAACACTAAACTTATACTAATTGAAGACATTTCTATCACTGTAACTTAAACACTAAAAGGAAATGGGCATTCTCCAGGCTTACCCCTTGATAATGTCTGCATATTACTATGTATGAAAGTCAAATCACCAGTTCTATGTCAAAATCTTAAACTCCAGTGAAGATCTGAGGTTTATCCCTGTAGGATGAACATGAAAAAGTACCAAATTGCCTCTTAGCTTTTGGTCCCCGAATGATCGCTAAATGTTTCCATATTCTTCCTTCAATATTAACAGTATTGCATTTTTTTCTTCCCATATTTACCATTATTCATAGGTCTCTTGCCATCTTCCATAAGTTCTAAGCTATAATACCACTGACACTGTGCTAAAGAAATAATAAAGTGAAAGTGAGTAGAGTCACATAAAATATTTTGGGTAATACTCAAAAACACTTCATTCATATTTTATATCTCTTTTAAAATACAGCCTTGCAAATCAGTATTTTTAAAATCTAGAGATTTTTAGGCTTATCTTTTTTTATATAATGCATAGAAAACTAATGACTATGCCCATTTTAAGAAAGGCCAATATAAAATCTTGTGAAAAACTAAGGCAATTAATTTAATTTAAGGATTAACCACTTTTGGATCATCAGTATATTTTTTCCCTTAATCACAGAAATAGAACTTAAGGAAGTCTGAATTCAAGAGGCACAGAATTAGTGATAGTAAATGGATGGCTGCCACTGATAGATAGAGACCTACTTAAAATCAAACTGAGCCCTAGCTGGTTTGGCTCAGTGGATAGAGCATCGGCCTGCGGATTGAAGGGTCCTAGGTTCCACGTCCACGGGGTTTCGGGCTCAATCTCCGGAGCAGGGCGGGGGACATGCAAGAGGCAGCCAATCAATGATTCTCTCTCATCATTGATGTTTCTATCTCTCTCACCCTCTCCCTTCCTCTCTGAAATCAATAAAAAATATTTTTTTAAAAATTTAAACTGAAAAAGTTCTGAAATTACAGAACAAGCCTATGGGAAAGTATCATTGAATTCACAGAAATCTGCTTTACATATAGATTTTCACAAACATATCTACTAGACATGTAGGTAATATGACAGCTAATATAACAATATTTTGTACTCTTTCAAAATAATGTTTGTTACGCACTACAAAAGCTTAAAGCATTACAAAGAAGTGTAAGTAAGGGTGTGCGCCAGTAGGTGACTTGAGCTTTTAAAGAGGGAGAAAGGAGTGTTTATCCCCACACACAGATGCGTGTGCTGTCACCACAAAACACTGACTGGCTAGTCCTAAACAGAATGAGTTTTCTCAAAATCAAAAGCCACCATTCCAGGTCTTAGTAGGAGCTTACTGTCCAAGGGAAGAGTGGGATTGGTCCTTAGGGACAGTGATTCAATAGGTATTATTTCCTACATATTGAAATTAGTGAATAATCCTAAAACTGTCCTAGGAGAAGGAAAAAAGGCTTGAGCTTTAAAAATTGAAGTTGGCTGCATCGAAAATGTTCACACTGCTAAAAGGCTCATTCCCCATCCTTTGGAATTTTTTTTTTCTGCCCCTGCCCTATTATTTATTGGTTTCTTTATTTTTTGGTAGGCTTGCTCTTCTTATTTTGTTGCAAGGCTGCATTTTAACTTATCTGATTCTGCAGTTTAACATGGCCTGTGACACCTGTGTTCATTTGTTCTCAGCTGGTGAATGAACAGCAAGAAAGCAGACCCCTCCTGAGTCCCTCCATCGATGACTTTCTCTGTGAAACCAAATCGGAGGCAATAGCAAGGCCAGTAACGTCCAACACAGCTGGTAATTCTTTCACTTTTAACTGATCCTCGGGTGGAGTTCATTTTCACTGAAGTAAAATACACGTTTTCTTTCCACGATGCATTTTAACTGGAGAAAAATGTTTGCAACTGACTAAAACTTTAGAACATTTATTATTCAACATAAGCCAATGAACCACTTTTCATTATGCTGTAAGAAACTGCGATGTATAATATTACACAACCAGTGTTGCTGAACATTAGCATGCCACTATTAGCAATGAATGGTTTTTCCATACATATTTTCATATTTACATCTCATCTCAAGTCACATGACAGTAAGAAACCTTTAAAACAAAAGCATCTATTTCAGGGTTTTCAAGTTCTGCCTGGAAATACTTTGACAAAAGTCGAGTAAAGTAAAAATATAGGCCACCCCTTCAAGTGGATTGAAATGACAACTAAAATGTCCTAGAGACGTGGGAGATTATAGGCACTAACAAGTATTCATCCACTGAGGGATGTAAGAGGCCTCAGGTATGAATGCCACCTCCTCAAGTATCCTCTGCATTTTCCAATTCTCACTGATACTAAAACTAAGTCACTTAGGTAGGGCCCACCCTGAGGGAGCAACAAAAGATTTGACTCAAAAGCTAATTTTCACCTTTGATATCAGAGGCAGCTTTCAGCATTCACATTCAAAGGCATGTTGTTCAAATAAGAATAAGAAAATGATGTTCAGAATCAGAGAACAAAGGTTATGTTAGGCTGTGGGAGAGAATTTGACAGAGAAAGGAGGTGATAATCACATCCTGTCTTGTTAAATTCCTTCCATCTCCCATCCTGTCCTCAGCTGGCTGTTGCCTGCTATATTTTTGTTATACGCTTAAGTACGTAAACAAAATCACAGGTGAAGGAAATTGTGATTTTTTTTAAACAGGTGCTAAAAATTACACAACAAAAGTAACTAATACAAGACAGAGACATTTTTGTGGGAGTGTTGTCTACAGTCTCTGAGGTCAGAGTTCACTTAGCAGCTCAGTGTCCTCGGGCAAGTTGCTTAACTAGGTCTACTTCCTCATCCATCTAATAATAGTAAGATCTAGATCTTCTAGGTTACTTGGGAAGACTAAACGAAGCAATCTATGTAAGTCTTAACTCCAAGTGAGCTCAACAGCTATTACCATTCCTGTTAGCTATCACACCCAGCACTTCCCTTTTCAAATGCATTAACTTTCTGTATGTCACACCAAAGCAATCATTTTCTACACTCAGCTATCACTTGGAGTAATCAAGCAAATGAAATTGTGTTTGCTGCATTTTAGGCAGGAAATTGGGTAAATTCACATGCTATCCTATCAGAGTCAGCCTCCTGATCTCTGAAACTGGAGCTTCCCCTCCAAAACTGTAGAGCTACCCCCAGAAGAATCCAGAAGATGCTACAAGTAAGTCACTTAGGAGGAGCCCACCAGAAAGAGCCACATGATATTTGGCTCAAAAGCTACTTTCCCTTGGTTTTTCTAACATAGGAGAGACCTGTGAAATATTGGAGGGAAATATCTAAAGAATGTGTCATCTCCTGCAATCCCAGTACCTACAGTATTGCCTCTATTATTAGTTTCTTAGGACTGCCATGGCAAAATATCATAAACTCCATAGATTAAACAACAGAAATGTATTGTCTCCCAGTTCTGGAACCCAGAACTATAAAATCAAGGTCAGTAGGACCATTCTCCCTCTGAGGTGCTTGGGAAGGAGCTCTCCTCGGCCTCTCCTGGTTTCTGGCAGTTCCTGGGCTTGTGGCAGCATAACTGGAATCTTCACCTGACATTATTCCTGTGTGTGGCTCTTTCTGGGGAAGAGAAGTCTAAAAGTCTCCCCTTTTTATAAGGATACCAGTAGGTAGGCCCTACTCCATCATGAATCATCTTAACTAATTATATCTCCATTGACCCTATCACCTTCTTTTTTAAAAAATATACTTTATTGACTTTTTACAGAGAGGAAGGGAGAGGGATAGAGTCAGAAACATCGATGAGAGAGCAACATCGATCAGCTGCCTCCTGCACACCCCCTACTGGGAATGTGCCCGCAACCAAGGTACATGCCCTTGACCGGAATCGAACCTGGGACCCTTCAGTCCACAGGCTGATGCTCTGTCCGCTGAGCCAAACCAGCCAGGACGACCCTATCACCTCCTGAGGCACTGGGGGTTAACTTCAACAATGAGTTTTGGGGGGAACACAACTCAATCCATAATGCCCTCAAAGTAGGGGGTCGGGAAAAGTGATATTTTGAGGCTGGATTTTCCTTTTCTCAGCCTCAGCATTCAGTACATCTGGGTCCCACAGATTCTGATCCTGAAGGAAGACTCTTATTTGATAGTGTGCTTTTTAATCTTAAAAATTATATCTCAAGGCAGAAACACTATATGTTTTTAATCCCTAAGGAATATAGTTCTTTTTTATTATTATTACAAAACTACAATTTACATCTCAATATGCAACATAAATCACATCTTTAAACAGAAAAAGTTTTAGCATTCAAGCATCCTGGAAAGAATTTTTAATTTGTTCCAATAATTTTACAGTTAAATTTTTTAGGCAGGAGATAGAGTTACCATTTTCTTTCCAAATTTTTAATAAAAATAATAATTTTAAAATGGAACATTGTCATTTTATAGAATAGCATGAAATTACATTGAGAAATCAGGACAGTCATTGTATATGACATTCTAAGCCAGGGGTCCTCAAACTACAGCCTGCGGGCCACATGCAAATACAAATATTGTATTTGTTCCCGTTTTGTTTTTTTACTTCAAAATAAGATATGTGCAGTGTGCATAGGAATTTGTTCATAGTTTTTTTTAAAACTATAGTCTGGCCCTCCAACAGTCTGAGGGACAGTGAACTGGCCCCCTGTTTAAAACGTTTGAGGACCCCTGTTCTAGGCATTACACTTCAAAGGGATATTAAACAAACTTGGAGTAAAATATGGAAGAAACCCTGCTTCATGTTTGTACCAAGTCAATCAAGCTGAAATTTGAAGAACCTTATATTAAGACTAGTGGCCCAGTGCATGAAATTCATGCACAGGGGAGGGGGTGTTCCTCAGCCCGGCCTGCACCCTCTCCAATCTGGGACCCCTCAAAGGATGTCCTACTGCCGGTTTACAGGGATCGGGCCTAAACCAGCAGTTGGACATCCCTCTCGCAATCCGGGACTGCTGGATTCTAACTGCTCACCTGCCTGCCTGCCTGCCTGATTGCCCCTAATCACTCTCCTGCCGGCCTGCTCGCCCCCAACTGCCCCCCACGCTGGCCTTCTTGCCCCCAAATGCCCCCCCGCCAGCCTGATCACCCCCAACTGCCCCCCCTGCTGGCCTGCTCACCCCCCCTTCCCTCCCCACTGGCCTGCTTGCTCCCAACTGCCCCCCTGCTGGCCAGCTCACTCCAAACTGCCCCCCTGCTGTCCTGATCACCTCCAACTGAACCCCGACTGATGGCCTGCTTGCCCCCACTGGCCACCCTGCTGGTCGGCTTAAACCCCAATGGCGCCGCCCCCCACAGGCGTGATCACACAAACTGCCCTCCCCTCTTGCCTCTAAACTCCTCTAC